TCAAAGTGACAGCTGTGACGGAAAGAGTCAATCAAGCATGCTAGACTTTCTGTCGGGATGTCATGAGGCATCCCAGACATGGAATCGGTTGTCGTCTACCATGACACACTACACAGGATAAAACGATGGATTATCGTATACAACACTAATTGTCGTTCACGATCTGAGCCAACACTGTACGACGCCACATAAGGCTATAATCCGGCTAATATAGTGTAGTCTGGCACATAGGCGTTTCTAGCCCATTTTTGGGGGTGCTGAAGCACCCCTAAATTGAATCCCAGCACCCCTAAAATTTTTGAGATTTTTATTTACTTATTTTTTTTTACTGTATGTCCTCTTTTAACAAGCTAGAAAAGTGTCAAAACCATACAGTACTTGGTTGAAACGTAATATTTTAACAACAAAAATACCCCCCATTCTTTTGGAATTGTGTTTGTGACCACCTGATGAATGTAGGGCTGATATTTTTTTAAGTCTGCTATTCATAAAAATTGTTTTTTTGGAGGGGCTGTGCAACACGTTCTTTCATGTATTTCTTTTCTTGCTTTTTTTATTAGAGACTGTTATCTATGAGAAGGGAGGGGTGGTGCAGAATGGGGAAGGCATGTGATTTAATTTTTTAAGCACTGGGGAAGGACTTGTGTTGTTTTATTTTGGCTTAGGTGAGGAACAAACAACTTTAAAAGGTTGTATTTTGTATTGATTTAAAATGCCCTCTGAATGCCTTTTTTTTTTTTTTTTTTTTTTAAAATTGCAACGGCTACACCATTTATCTAACCAGAAACTGTAAAAACCAAAATTATGGTTGGATTTCCAAATTTCAGACAGTCCTTGACCACACCATGTACGATGAATGCTTCCATCAGGGAACACCAATTCTGAGCTTAAAATAGTGATATTTCAATAAAATCACCTCACCCTGTTGTCTGTGTCTGTTGTACACCTTGTTGGATGAAAATCCACTTCTTACAGTGGAGCGGTACTTTGGGGTCATAGAGGGGATGTTAACACTCTTTGGATATGCTACACACAGCGCACACAACAAAGAGGTGGCAGGGAGGAGGCGGAGCTCCACACAACACTATGTGGTGTGTGTGTGTCTGTGTATGTATATAGAAATGTAGGGCTAGAAAATACAAATTACACACACAGCTGATGCTAATTTGAAAGGAGAGGGAGGAAATTCTTTCTCAATGTGGGACGACCACACACCAACAGTCCAAACAGACACGCTCTATGTATATTCTATACTCATTCTCTACATTTACTACACACACAAATAGGAAGAAACAAAGATCTTAGTTTTCCTATTTTTCCGCATTTTTCCTATAACAATGGATACAGCCTTTCATTCAATTCAGTTTGTTGAATCCAAGACAATGTTTGTGCCAAATTAAAAGAAAATCCCCCAAGGTGTTCTTTAGATTTTGTGTAACTCCTTTCAGTTTTTCATCAAAGTTAGGCTTTATGATGTTAAAACAATACACTGTCACTCCGACCTCGTCACATATCAACATTTGGTCATGGATTTTCCACATCTACATATGATGTGCAAGGTACCCTGAGTGTGTTGGTTGTTGACATCCCAGGATGCCGTGTCAACTTGCCAACAGTGCCAACAGTCGAATATATGAAATGTGCCTTTAACATGGTGTATACTGTGTCGCCTAGCAGCAACGTCATCAAGCAGCACCTGTTATGATTTGAGTCTGTTGAGAGCGCACCCAACGCTGGTCGGACGTATACTTATGTGCTCCTGCTTTTTCTTTTATCTCTCAACACAACAGTGATGGTTATAAGTAAGTGTGGTGACTATTCTGTTGATGTATGAAAATATAGTAGCCGTACAACCGGGCTTGGTAAGGTTGGAGTGTTTTTAAGTTGATGTAAAAATAAACGACGAGCATCTGTGAAATCCCGCACTCGTGCGGATGTGAGTTTCTGCCTGTTGTCTCACTCCAAGAGCTACACGGACCCAAAACCATTACAAACTTCAGCCTGTTACATGCATTGTCTATTTTCAAAATACACTTCTGTTTTCACAGCAAATGTACGGTTTGCATACAGTCTCTTTCAAAATAACTACACTACGTCAGTACAACACCACCAATTGACATTTTTTTCTTTCAACAACAAAAGCACGTGGTTACGTTTTGCCAACACACACAGTTGGGTTTAGGCAACAATAGCACGTGGTTGGGTTTAAGAAAAAAGAACAGGGTTTTGCTTTACATTCATGCAAAGCAGACACTGGCCTCCCGAGGTGGTTGTTGGACCCATCCACCACCACTCCTGCCCGCCCTACTCGGACTTCTGCCGCCTTAACGTTTGTTGTTGCCCCACCATGTTTCCCCCTGTTCATGCCGACGTGAAAGGATGGCTTTTTTCTTTGGTGTCTGACACCGGAAGTCACTGACCAAGCACTGGTTTTCAACGACTTCGGAGTGAGACCAGGTTGGTTAAAACTGAGTGAAATATTCAAACCAAACACAAACATTTTTTTTATAGTTACGTCATTCCATCAAATAGAAACATTCTTGATGTTTTCAGCCACACTTCTCCAAAGTTAAGCCTGAAAACGTCTGTGTGTAATTCTTCTTCTGTTATTCTTGTCTATAGCCCCTTTTCCACCAACATTTCCAGGAATGTTTATTTCCAGGAACTTATTTACAAGGGTAAAATAATTCCTGGTAATCTGTGTGGTTTGCGTTTCCACCGCACCTCAAAGTTTCGGAAAATTTATTCAAATCAGGCTGATGACGTAGATGATTTGACGTGTGCCCTGTATTTGGCTTGGGTGGTTACATGCTGGTGTAGAGAGTTGGGGCTGGTTGTCTCAGCCAGCAGCTAAGTTTAAAAGCATTTTAAGATAAGTGTCAAACTAAGTTAGTCTACATACAGACAGCTGTCATTTGAGCTTAAACTATTCGCTATCAGCCAAACTAGCGTGCTGTCCTTGTGTAAAACACAACGTTAGTGGCTGTGGATGAGAGACTGGAGGGAGCATATTGAATATCGCTGTCTGTGTTCCTCAGTTACATCTTCCGTAAATTCAACATCCATTTCCATTGCTATGGGGATGACACCCAGCTCTATCTGTCTACCAAACCTACCTCCACCCTCCCGCCCTCTTCCCTCTCTGACTGCCTTCAGGAAATCAAATCCTGGTTCTCCTGCAACTTCCTCAAATTGAACAGTGATAGAACTGAGTTACTTCTCATTGGCACCAAATCCACCTGAGCAAAAATTAACAGTTTTACACTTGACATTGATAACTCCTCAGTTTCCCCCTCCCTGCAGGTTAAGAGTCTTGGTGTCATCCTCGACAGCACTCTGTCATTCCAAGCTCACATCAATAATGCCACTCGGTCTGCCTACTTTCATCTACGCAATATTAACCACCTTCGCCCGTCCCTCACACCGCACAGTACTGCCATTCTTGCTCACACCCTGGTTACATACCATATAGATTACTGTAACTCCCTCCTTTTTGGTCTCCCTCTCAAGTCCATCCACAAACTTCAACTAGTCCAGAACTCTGCTGCTCGCATCATCACCAGAACCCCGTCCATCAATCACATCAGTCCTGTCCTTCAGCAGCTTCACTGGCTCCGCATTGAAAAAATACCGCATTGACTTCATTGACCGCACTGACTTTTATTCACTGTAAGCTTGTTTTGCTGTTGTTATTTATTTGTTTATTTTATGTTACTTTATTCCTCCATAAAACATTGTACACTTATCTACACTACACTGCATTGTTGTGTGGGACAACGTAACAGACACAGACAAATTCAGTATTATACAGTGGAACACCAGAACACAATAGATGGTTTAGAACTTGTGACATTTATTGGACAGGCCACAACTGGCCAAAAAAATATCTAAAATAAAGCTATATTTCTCAAGCAATGTACAAATAATAATAATAGCAATAATAATACTTTGAGAGTGAAATAGTTAAAGAACCTTCATTAATCGCGCAATTTAAATGTGAAAAGTCTCATTGACTGACCGTCACCTGTGTGTATGCGGAGAAGGAGAGGGGCGGAGGGAGTGGAGCTGTGGAAACATCCTGCAGTCCAACATACTATCATGTGTTAAAATAACTTATTAGACGGATATAGAGAGAGAAAGGTGATGTTTAGAGAGTAAGCCCAAATAAGCAACTCCACTTTAGAAACAAGCCCAAAAAAACACAACCCGCAACTACCAATATTTGTAAGTGACTTTACAAAAAAACAAGCCCAAAGTCACGGCTAATAAGCCGACCTGTGTGCTTGTGAATACCCGCCCTGCTCTGCCTCTGATTGGTTTATGATGAAATTTTACTCTCCCTAAGCCAATCATCATCACGTATGCAGTTGTCTCTCCCTCCCTTCCCCCTCACCTGCCTTCACCAAAGAAAAAAAACTTTAGAGCTCCACTGAGAAGGAGCTTGCTTGGGTGAAAGCGGCTTCAGTGAACTCAAGTAAAGCAGAGTAACGGCGCATTTTATTGTGAATAACGGTAACGGCATTATAACAGGGAGACAGTAACTTGCAAAATTGGTTCAGCTCATTATCCCACTGTAGGTTTCCCTAAACCACAGCCCCACCTTTCCTCTGGAACCCAGTGATCTTCCTCCTCCCACTCCACACCTCCGTGACCTCACTCCTCTGTAGTTTTTCCTCCAGTCTCTGCCTGTAGGAGATTTTACTCTCCCTGAGTCTCCGTTTAAGTTCATTCTGTACACATTTCAGTTCTGTTCTGTCCCCTAACTTGAGGCCCTCTTTTTTCATTAAGTAGGGCCTTCAAGTCACTAGTGACCCGAGGTTTATATACCTAGATGAGCTATAACTGTAGCTCCACTCAACTGTGCATGTAACCGTACTGACTGATGGAACATGGAAAGTGAGCACACAGAAATTAATGAATTATAGACTGGTTAATTATAGGTGTGAATATCCAAGTGCAGAATAGGCAACCAGTTGGTTAAGGAGCAGAGTGTTAGTCACCTGAACAGTGGCTTTAGTTTTATTATCAGCCTTGAGGAACTTAGAGGAGATTTTAGAAACAGGGGTATTGTAGTGACTGGCAGAGGTGGTGGAAAGGGAAGTACAAGCAAAGGAAGGTTTAGGAGGATAGCGGGTGTCCAGCTTGGGTGAGGGCAAGTGCTCACACAAGTCAGCATTCTCATAGTGCAGCTCCTGTTTCAGCTGGCACTCCACTGTGATGGTACTGGAGTACTGCACCTCCGGGTCCTTGGGTTAGACCATACAAGCATGCAAGCAAGCAGAGAGAGGAGGAGAGAAGAGGACAAGAGAGGAGGGAAGAGACATAATACATAAAACATCAAAAGAGAACAGAAAGGGAGAGATGATAGCAGTATAAAGTTAATTACACTACTTTCCCAGAGCAAGCGTTGTTGCAATACCAAAGCAATACCAAAGCAACTGCACAGACACATCTAGCACCTTCAGTCATGGTGCTATTTTAGATCAGGTGAGATTTACGCAAACAGCCTCTGTATCCAGTGTGAGTGAAACCTTGTGGAAATTAGTGGATGCTTTGAAGAAGAAGGAAAGAGGCAGATCTGTGACTCTGTGCTCTTCAAACAGCTGATGTACTCCTACTTGCTGTAAAGTCACTAGTCAGCTAAATCCAGATGATCAATACATTTATCAGAACTTCTTGCTACCTAACTCCATGTGTGTCAAGCAGGTGATTACCAAGCTGCTGTTTGACTGTTTTTTTTCTGTGACTGACTCTACCTGTTTCGTTCACTTTCCACCAGCTTGTACAAACTCTTTCTGTTTTCGTAATGTACCAACATGTGGCTCTGAATAATCACTAAGAAGCATACATATGATGTGATGACAGATGAGCTGAATCAGATCCTGATGTGACTAGTCTAAGTAGAGGATGACAGAGTATTTTGCCTTTTTTTGTGTGAGTTGGCACCACTCTTTCTCTCAAGGTTTTTATCCAACCACGTTTGCTATGTTCCACAAGAACTCTTATCTCTTTCAATCTAATAAAGACATTAATAAACGTATTTATTGCACTGAATGTATTCATGAATAGACATGCATGTTAAACACAACAATCAACACAAGCTAAACAACCATCACTCTCAAACCTTTTAGTCCTGAATCGGTTATTACTGGCAGTTACTGCTTACTGCTGTGGGTGTGTGCTTTTTCCTAGTGCTAGCTGCTGTTAGCCTCTGAACATTGGCTGTCGCTGTGCAGTTGCTTTGGTTCGAGGGTGTGTGCTGTGCTACCATAGACTGAGTGTGCTACTGGGTTAGCTGCTAACGAGAGTCTGTCTTTCACTTCACAGCGGCTCCTTCAGCTGACACGCCCCCATCATCTCCGATGAGAGTATACTGCTCATTTTTTCACAATTTTGAAACCTAATTTAGTATACATGACAACTTTTAAAAATGGCTGGCTGGTTAAAACAATTTTTTCTGTGGTGTAGCAATCCTATTATGCATGTGCACCCAGACTTAAAGATTGAAACTGCCATTATTGATAAGATATGATGCAACCTTAAATCAAACAATATCAAAAACATCTGTGATAAAAATACCATATCTTAACTATGCTCACGATCCTATCTACTTATACAACATGAAATGAAAAAATGCTACATGTAGTACCTTTAATGCTGTACTGAAAAGTGAAGAGCAGTTAGCACAGAGAGCAGGGATCAAAGCAGAGTTCAGCTGAAATTGAGAAAAACAGCTAGATGGGTTACTGCTAAGTGTTAAGCGGCTCCATCTTGCTTGGTATATATGTATATCTATGAGCAGGTGTATCCTTACCGTGCCGTTAATGGGCACATCATCATAGTGCAGAGCCACACCAGTGGGGCAGGCATAGCCATTGACAGGGTTATCCAGGTATGGGTTAGGTGAGACAGCACGCTTGCTGGTGAAACTGTGAAGAGAAAACATCAAGATTCTGTCAAAAGACTCAAATTTCTTTGAGTAAAGTACCTCTACAAGATTTTCGTTGTGCTCAAGCAGACACATTAGTCTATAAAATACACTTTTCTTGGATTAATAGAGGCAGTAGTGTCAATTCCTTTGGTTACAATGAGGGCTGAATATTCAGCATCTAGATCAAATTTTTCACAATGTCAACAGTCACACTGAAAAGGACACTAGGGATCGACCGATATGGTTTTTTCAGAGCCGATGCCGATACCGATTATTATGAAACAGAGATACCGTACCCAATATTTACAACCGATATATGTCTGCTGTAAAAATCATAGTTGAAACAGAACTTAAAAAATAAACACTGACAAAGCACTACATTCAAATGCAATTAAGCATATATTTATTCTGAGAACTTTTCCAATGAAACAGTGCAGGGAGCTGCCAGCAGCACTTTGAAAAAAACTTTGACAAGTAAACAAACGAATGGAAAAATATAAAAGTACTCCCTGAGTTTTAAAGTACTGTAATAAGTACAGATGAAAGATAACAGATGAAAATTAAAAGTGCAGGGAGCTGCCCATAGTATTTTTAAAAGTTCAAATAAATACATACACACACACATACACACACACACACACACACACACATATATATATATATATATATATGAATAATTAATGTGCCGCCTCTCTTGATGCAGCGGCTCCATGGCGCACGAGTTGAGTTTAATTCGATACACCTTTTCAGTGTTGTGTAGTTTTATAAGAAGAATATGCAGACTTGCAGTAGTACACAACGACATGGTTAAAGTTTGATAGAGCACAGGAAACATATGTCTGTAAGTACAAATGTATTGGTCTGAGTTTATTTACTTATGTTATGTAGAGTTGCTCACTTGCACTTTATTGTTTGTCATTGTAATGCCGTTGTGGCACCGATGCAAATTTCTGTTAGCGCATCTATGAAGATTTCCATTATATGTTAGCATTATGCTAGCGGACCATGCGCTAATTATTTTTCCACATTTATGGCACTAATGCCAGCTATATTTTGAGTTACTGATGGTTGTAAACTACGCCGAATATTGTATTGGATATGTTTGTGATTTAAAACCTGACTTAATGTTATCCTTTTGTGTGTTTCATGTGGCCCCGATAATCGGCCAGGCCGATTATCTGTCGACCCCTAAAGGACACCATGTAAAAAATCAAGGTTTAATATAAGAGCCATTTTCATGCTAAACACAAAATAAAAACATGTTTGTATTTTCATTAGAGAAAATGTGTGTTCCTCACCAAAAGGACTGCTTGGCCAGCTGGATGACATTGGCTGTGGTCTCAACATCAATATAGTCGTAGTGTAGGGTGGCTGGGTCGGTGGTGGAGCCAGTCTCAGCCAATAAAATCCCCAACCAGCGACCCATCCCTTCAGAGGAAGAGGCCTTGAGAAAAATTACAAAGTGACAGAAAATGAACAAGAAGGAAAGTTGAGTGAAATCCAAAGCTGCTTCTTGCACCTTTTAGTTCAATCAAAACCTAAAATAAATTTTGGATAAGAGTTCTTTTACATCAGTGACTTTAAATTATACATTTATACAATTTCTTCAAATTTAGAACTCTTTCTGTTTGTTGTAGGAACTGGCCACCTGTCGCATATTACATCCATCAAAGACTTAGTAATGTTATGGTTTTGCAGGGAACAGGAACAGAACTGTATGTCCAGCAGAGGATAGCATGCAAGCGATGTGAGGATATAGAATCATAACTAGAATTACCACCTTGCAGTTGAATGCCTTTGTGAACCAGTCAAGTTGCAGTTACAGTTTACATCCACGTCTATCCCGACTAATGCGTAACCATGACAATTGACAATGCATCAAATATAGATGTTGCTGCAAAGAAACTCCAAATTCTAAGGCTTTACACACATCTTCAACCTGGCAGCACAAAAGATCTTGTTGTGGAAATTCTCTGCTGCTGGTGAATAATGAAATAGAGACTTCTGTCGGCCGACAAGGTTTTTATTTTCTTTGAAAGGGGGGATGCTGGATGCCATAACTCAACACTGGTTCACCAAAGGGTTTTCAGTTCATGCGCAGAAGTTTTGTCAATCATGTATGGTTTGTGCAACAGATAACGCAGGTAAAACCAAAACAATCACACACGCCACTCACCCACCATCAGACAGACCATTCCAACATTTGAATACCAACCAAATTGAGCAGCGATAATGGCTCACACTTTGTCAATTCTGCAATAACCCAAATCAGTGATTTTCTTGCCATTTGACCTCAGACAACATTGTACATACCACCCTGCCAGTGGAGGTGCTGTCGAACGAGAAAATGGCACTCTGAAATCAAAATTGGCCAAGTGTTGTGAGGAAACGGGACTGCCATGGACAAAAGCTCTGCCTATTGTTCTAATGCATATGAGAATGAGAAAAAGGTCCAGAGTGAACATGAGTCCCTTTGAAATTCTTTTTGGCAGACCTCCATCCCTAGGAGTGGAGCCTGTAACCAGGCTGCTCCCCTCCACTGGCCTATGTGAGGATGACATGTTATAATATTGCAAAAACATATCTTCCACTCTCTCTCAATTCTCTCAGCAGGTGAAATCAGCCCTTCCACCACCAGCTTCCACATCACTCCATGATTTCCAACCTGGCGACTGGGTGGTGATAAAGGACCTAAGAAGGAAACACTGGCACTCCAAACGCTGGCGAGGTCCATTCCAGGTGTTCCTGACAATGCATACTGCTGTTAAGATCGCTGAGAGAGCAACGTGGGTTCACGCCAGCCACTGCAGGAAGGTCCCTGAGCCAACGGAGGAACTCAGCTGTCGATGCGAGGACGGACAATGCGAGGATGGACGACACGAGGACAGACGACACGAGGACGAACAACGCGAGGACGAACGAGCTCATCAGAGGACGACACAAAAAAATGACTCCGTGAATTCAACAGACACCAACTAGACGTGCAGGACTAACATCGCAAAACCTTTTCCCACCAGACTACACCACCTATCCTGACCCTATCATGCGATACTTATAGAGACTTACATCTACAAACCTGCCAAGACTGTCACTCTGACAGAAGGAGAAAGTGCAACATTCAGCTGTTCTGTTCACCCCGGAATTTGACAATCAGGTCAAATTCACACATATTATGAACATTAACAATGCTGATCAAAAATTCAGCCTCATTTCACATTCCTGATCCCCATCATTACCCCAGCTCAGACTTTGACTCTGATGATGACATTTTATAAATAATGTTTTCTTTTTTTTTTTGTTTTTTGTTTTGCTTTTTTTGTCTTTTCTCTATCTCTCTCCCTTTCCTTCAATTTTTACATACATATTTTTTGTTTTTCTTTTCTTTTTTTTGTTTTAGTGATTAATCAATAATCAAAAGGGAGGAATTGTAATTGTAATTTCATTTTCTTTGTGTATTCTTTGTGTTTTCAAATACACAGATGACTAGACCTCTTAACCTCCCACCTAGATACAAAATCCTGCAGGATACGCCAGGTGTGAAACACACCCTAGGGGGTCGGAGCCAATACTTGCAGCAGACGAAAGAGTGTTAAAACAATGGGTAGGGGCGCCGCTCCCTGCCGCAGACAGAAGGGTGTGAAACACAACGTAAGAGGCAGTCCTAAGGTATAAATCTTTAAGCTTTCCCCATGCTCAGGGTCTTTCTTCATTCTGACCACTTGTGTGCTGATTGACCTTTTCTTTGCAAAGAAAATAAAAACCTTGTCGGCCGGCAGAAGTCTCTATTTCATTATTCACCAGCAGCAGAGAATTTCCACAACAATCTTTACCATCAGCACAATTTTAAGGTGGGCAGCTACAATTAATGTCACCAAATCAGTATTTGACCCTTCTGTTCTTGAGTTATGACGCTGAATAACGGCCAGAAAAGTGTTTTTGCAGAACATTATGATATCACAGTGAGGTTGACCTTTGACCTTTTGGATCTAAAATGTCATCACTTCATTTTATTCTATTAGACATTTGTGTGAAATGTTGTCATTATAGCATATGAATGCCTGAGTTATTGCCAAAAACATGTTTTGTAAGGTCACAATGATCTTGACCTTTGACCATCAAAATCTAATCAAGCAGACATTTGTGCCAAATTTGAAGAAATTCCCTTAATGTGTTCTTGGGATATTGCGTTCACGAGAATGAGACAGACACAAGGTAAAAATGACCTTGACCTTTGACCATCAGAACATTATCAGTTCATTCTTGAGTCCAAGTGGATGTTTGTGCCAAATTTGAAGCGTTCTTGAGATATCCCATCGACGAGGATAAGGTCACAGTGACCTTGATGTTTGACCTATGACCACCAAAATCTAATGAGTTCATTGATTAGTCTAAGTGGACATTTGTGCCAAATTTGAAGAAATTCCCTCAATGTGTTCTTGGGATATTGCGTTTACGAGAATGGGGCAGACGCATGGATGGACAGACCCAAAATCGTAATGGGCTCTAGTTTCGCAGACCGGGCTCAGCTACTCCTCTTTCCCACCTCCATCCCTCCTACCTGCGCAAGTCGGAAAGAGGGACAAGAGAAGGCGTGGAGTGGGTTTTACACACATCACACCAATCAAATGAGCCCCTCTCCTCACCCTTAAATGCGCTGTGCAAAGGCGTAATGAGAGTTTACTCAATTCGCCATGGCAGAAGAGAGCAGCAGCGTCAGACGGCCAAACATCTCCCAGGAGGAAACTGATGTTTTGGTCCGGGAGGTTCAAGCTCGCAGTGTCCGAATATACGGAACTGCGAGCAGACCTCCACGGGCTGATGATGCAAAGGTAGCCTGGGAGGAGGTTACCACAATTGTAAATCAATGTTGCGTTTCTCTCGTGCGCGCGCTCTCTCTTTCTCTCTCGCAGTCTCACTCTGTTTCTTTTCTTTTGACTTTTCTAAGATGACAGCTGCTGAATATATACTCCCTATCTGATGCTGTGGCTGTTTGTGGTTGGCTGAGGGGGATGTGAACTCATTAGTTTGCAGCGTGTGTTAATCAAATCAGGTTGGGTTTCCATTACACATGCCAAATGTGCCCAACGGTGCCAATCCCCTTTGATCTGACATCAGATGTGACGGGACAGTCGATATAAAGATACGTTTATGTGCTGATTGCAGATAGTTGCATTGAATAGTGGTTTTTGTGGGTATTTATTGCATTATTAATGTGCCTGATATTCTGGAAACCTGCCTGTGAGGTTTTGGTGACGTGTGCACACAGTCCACCGGTCAGCCAAACTTCGGCTTACACCGGCTGAGCTCCGCCTGCGCTCCGCCTGCGCTGACAGTAGGCCTGGTTTCAGCTGGCGAGCTTTTAGCGCACCTTTGGCGAAGCCTTTTGGCACGAAACTGTCACTGTGCCAAGCTGGATCTGTCGACACCTCCCCCGCTGCGCCGCCACACCCATCTCAGAGCACCTCGGTCTGCCAAACTACCAAACTGAGCGCGCCTTGGGTTGCGCTGCTCGAAACTAGCTCTGCGCGGGGTTCGCCACCCTACGCCGCGCTGGGAAACTAGAGCCCATAGTCTCTGTCCAAGGCTGTTGCCAGCTTGGAGGCATAAAAACAAAATTGAGGTCAACATGATTCTTCAAACACAACTGACCTCCAGTACAGCAACCTCCTGGCTGTTCCGAAGCAGGCGGAAGGCAAACGGGTGTTTGTGATCAAGGCCAGGGCTGACCTCGCAGCCTCGAAGGGGCAGTGAGGCGATGTGGCATTTCAAGTCATCACGGTCCTTGTGGAGTAGCAGCTGGTTGTCCTTCAGGCGGCACCAACGCTCCCTCCAACGGTTATTGGACAACACGTTCAGGTAGCCTGTCAAGCAAAGCAAACACAGAAAAATAAAGTAATGAGGAACTATACTGAGTTTTTCACAAATTATAACAATATCAGACCGATTTTATAATACTATTTATTGCTGCCATTTTTTTGGCTGTAGCTGTCCAGTGTATTTTTTTTACTGGTCTACCAGCATTCAAACTGCACCCATGCACAAAAGTTTCAAGTTCAGGAAAGTTATGCATGTACATAGTGATACAAAAGACAAAAGCATGTGTTCATTTCACAGCCTGCAATGGATATTGCTGTCTCGTAAAAGTCTCCATGAAATAAAAATACAAACAGCGTCATATGACTTATCCTCAGAATCAGAATCAGAAATGCTTGAATTGATCCCTAAGGGGAAATTGTTATTCATTAAAGTCATTCCAATGTAAGGACTGGTAACCTCTGATTTGCAAAATCAGATTACAACACGGCAAAGACTACATCAAAATTGACTCCTCGAAGCCAGGCCACAACGGATCCTCATCCAGTCGACCATTTTTGTAGTTTTATACTATTCTGCCATTTTGTTTGGGAAGCCAGGCTGCCTTTGTCTCACACACACCTGGCCCTTTCCTATTAGTCTTTTTGGCCACGGTCAAACCATGCCACGTAGATACACTGCTCAAAAAAATTAACACTTAAATCACACATTAGATCTTGATGAACAAATTATTCAAGTTGAAAATCTTTACTGATGTCCATTGTACAATCCCCTGAGAACAAACTTACATCGGTCAGTGGAAACCAAAATCATCAACCCACTGAGGGCTGGATTCAAAATCACACCTAAAATCAAAGTAAAAAATTGAAATCACAGGCTGATCCATCCTGTGTGAATTTTATCACGACAACTCATAATGTGGCTCAGAAGTGTGTATTAGGGCTGCACGATATTGGAAAAAACTGACATTGCGTTTTCATTCATTCATTCATCTTCTAACCGCTTCATCCTCTTGAGGGTCGCGGGGGGGCTGGAGCCTATCCCAGATGACATCGGGCGAGAGGCAGGGGACACCCTGGACAGCTCGCCAGACTATCGCAGGGCTGACACATAGAGACAAACAACCATTCACGCTCACATTCACACCTACGGACAATTTAGAGTTATCAATTAACCTAGTCCCCAATCTGCATGTCTTTGGACTGTGGGAGGAAGCCGGAGTGCCCGGAGAGAACCCACGCTGACACGGGGAGAACATGCAAACTCTGCACAGAAGGGCTCCCATGCCCGGGATCGAACCGGCAACCCTCTCGCTGTGAGGCGAGGGTGCTAACCACCACACCAACGTGCCGCCCGACATTGCGTTTTTTTTTTGCAATATATATTCGTATACCTGTGATTTCTCTATGCTGTTTGGACTTTTTATCGTAAGGTGTTACACTGGCAAAGGCATCTGTAATTGTTTTTTGCTTCATAGTTTGACTTTGGGATCTTGCTTTGCATTCATCATAGAGAGCTCTGTGATGGTGATTCAAATGGTCAAACAGATTAGTCGTGTTGCCTCATGTTGAGCCAGTAACAGCAAGGCACTGTCGACACAGCACATTCCTTTGGTCTGTATCATCGTTGACCTTCTTTTGGGGACTAAATCATCCTTTACCGTTTCTCCCTCTTGCATGTCGCTCATTTTCAGTGTGTGACTGCAGCGTGTGCATGAGAGGGGGAGAGGCTGCTGAGTGCTCAGAGAGGGAGAGACAGAGAGAGAGAGGAGAGCGGAGCGGAGCAAGGAGCTTTCTTCAGAGCTGCTTTTCTGAAGCAAAACAAAAGTTTACATGTTCTAAAAAAAGAGAAAACATCGCACATGCGCACATCACGATGGCGATGTTCAAACGATGTATCGTGCAGCCCTAGTATGTATGGTCCCCGTGAGCCTGTATGCACTCCCAATAACATCTGGGCATGCTCCTGATGAGTCGGCAGATGTTGTCCTGGGGGATCTCTGCCCAGACCTGGATCGGTGCATCAGTGAACTCATAGACAGTCTGTGGTGGTACTTGATGGTGTCGGATAGCCATAGGTGCTCAGTTGAATTTAGGTCAGGGGAATGAGAGGGCCAGTCATTGGCATCAATGCCTTCGTCATCCAGGAACTGCCTACAGCAGCACCAGCATAAGGTCTGACAAACACATCATCATCCTGGTACCTAACAACAGTCAGGGCACTGTTGTGTATGACATGGAGGTCTATGCAATCCTGCAAGGATATGCCTCCTCAGACTGTCACTGACCCACTGCCAAACCAGTCATGCTGGTTGATGCTACAGGCAGCATAACGTTCACCACAGAATCTCCAGACTCTTCATGCCTGTCACATGTGCTCACTGTGAACCTGCTCTCATCTGTGAAGATAACGGGTCTCTGGATGCCAATGGAGCTGCACGGTGCTGGGCTGTGAGCACAGGTCTCATTAGAGGACGTCGAGCCCTCATGCCACCCTCATGGAGTCTGTTTCTGACAGTTTGGTCAGAAACATGCACACTAGTAGCCTTCTGGAGGTCATTTTGTAGGGCTCTGGCAGTGTTCCTCCTCACACAAAAGAGCAGAAACCAGTCCTGCTGATGGGTTGATGTCCTTCTACGGCCCTGTCCAACTCTCCTCGTGTAACAGCCAGTCTCCTGGTATCTCCTCCATGCTCTTGAGACTGTGCTGGGAGACACAGCAAACCTTGTGACCACACGTATGGATAAGCCATCCTGGAGGAGCTGGACTTTCTGTGCAACGTGATTGGGTGTAGGTGCCGTCTCATGCTACCAGTAGTGACAAGGACACTAGCAGAACACAAAACTAGAGAAGAATTAGTCAGGAAGGATAAGGAGAGAGCAACTGTCCGTGGCCACCACATGTAAATCCATTCCCTTTTTGGGGGTTGTCTTGCTTTGACCTCTCCATTGCGCCTGTTGTCACTTTAATTTGTGCTTTCTAAATGGACAGATTGATATCCCTGAGGTTTATTTATTTATTTTATTTATTTATGTATTTATTTATTTATTATTATTATTATTTGAAAGGGACAATGCAAGTTAATGAACATCACCATACGAGCAATACAATGACGTAAACATGCCAGATTGTAGCCATTGGCTAATTTTCATCTGTTGTCCCTAGCAGATGATCCCTAGGTAAAACACAAATAAAAACAGATAATCACATTCTTAAAACAAAACAACAATACATCCAGTTGATACATCTAGTAAAGTTTAACTTTTGACTTTGTATTACACTGTGACGATTCAGTGTTACCTTAATTTTTTTGAGCAGTGTATGTGTGTCCTTGGTCAGCTTAAACATACTGAGCTATGCAGGAGATGGATCATCTCCTGTCAGAGCCAACATCGTGCCTGACCATCTCTACGTGGGTAGCGGTGACGTCTCGCTGACCGCAGCCAACCCCTGACGACCCCCTCCTCCCCCTGAAACAAATTTGTGTTGAGAGACTTAACTCAACTCTGAATGCAGGAGAACAGAGAGAGAGAGGCATTATCTAAAGTCTTTGTACGTTCATCTTTCAGTCCTTTTGTAGCTTCTAACTGAATCTCTGTGGTTTGGAGTTTAGTTTCTCTCCTGCATCCCTGTTTGTACAATAAATATCTGCTTTACTGTACTGTTGCTTGTTCACTTTTAGTTGTACAGGGGTCCATTTCACAAAGCAGGTTTAGTGAAAACTCAGAGTCTGTTAACCCTGAAATGAGGGAAACTTGAGTTTTCTGTTTCAAAAAGGGAGGTAACTCAAACCAGAGAAAGAGGGGTAACTCTAGCCTGTTTCAGAGAGAGAGGTAACTTAAGCTCTCGGTCAGTTACCGTAATAACAGACTCTATGAACCTAACCTGGTCGGGACCAGGTTTTTCTCAATGAACCTTGAGTTTCTCTCTGTCTCCGCCCTCTTTCAGAGCCACACACTCCATTTGATTTCCTCATTCATTCAGTCAGCAGGCGAGTTTTGGCGTGCCTAGTTCTGCCGTCTGTCATTTTAAAAAATCAGTCAGTATATTAGAAGTCCATTAGGCACAGTAGGTGGCGACTTTTTTCACTAACATGGCATGTCCTTTTGATAACGATCCCGTGGATGAAGGTGCAGCATTACTGCGCAGAGGATTAAATATTCATCGGGAGATGGTTATCAGACCGTGCATAGATGTTTTAGCATTTCCACACAATTATCTTTTTGAGCTGTACCATTTCACGTCACAGTCCATCATCTACATACACAACCTAATCCGTCCTTACATTTGCAACATTACCAATCGTAGTCATGCTCTCACATCCCAGCAGATATTGTGTGTTGCGCTGCGTTTCTTTGCAAATGGAAGTTTTTTGTACAATGTCGGAGATGCTGAGCACTTGAGTAAGGCAACTGTATGCAGGGCGGTCAGGAAAGTGTGCTCGTTTTACAGGCATCTGCCTTCTTTCTGTTGGCTGAGTAGAAGTCTGTGTTAGTTTAAATAGGCTTAATTATTTAACAGAACATGATATAGATGAGAAGACATTTATGTGTGTGAAAACAGCATTATGTTGGGGATAAAACAACTGCACAGTCAAACAGCCACTTAATATTTACTTTACAATGTAAAACATGATGAAAATGAGGTACCCCCATGAGATTATGCCGAGGCCTTACCTGTTTGAACAATGTTTTTATATTTCATCCTAAACTGCTGCCAAGTGCGCTTCTCCCCGTGGGATTGCCCCTAAATGAAATAAATTAATAGGCTACAGTAATATGTAATATTATTGTGATTGCAAAGGACTACATTTAAACTTTGCATTGACCAGAGCAGCAATGTTGTCCCACGCCGTCTCCCTCTCTTTTGCAGCTGCAGCGGTGTTGCACTTCTTTTTGAAAACGTGTGCAAACTCGCCGTATGAGCGCATTAAGATTTCTAATTCGAATGGGGTGAAAAACGCAGCCCTCCTCTTCCTCGTTGCCATGGTGACTCGTCGAATCGGGGATCCATTGATGCTGGCTTTTTATAGTTGTGGTGCACATGCTTAACTCCAGGTGAAACTACTCTGAGTTGATTAAACTGATTCAAATCAGCTGTTCTGGAACCGGAAACTCAGAGTTTTCTATCTCAGAGTAGATCAACTCAGAGTTCAGGATTAGACTCAAAGTTTGTTGAACCTGCTTTGTGAAACGGACCCCTGGAGTCATGTTAAGTTACTGCTAATGAAAACTCAACATTTCTTTATTTTGCTGTTTCACTATAAAAGCTTTTGCATAACATTACACATTTATTGTGACAAATCAACAGGAAAATGAATATATTATATTATATATTATAAATATTGGCTGATCGTTTACACGACAGCTGCGTTTTGGGTGCCTGAAAACGCAACTTTTGAAAACAGGTTCCAGAGTGCAATTTTTTGGAAACGGCACCGTCTTCATTGTCATCTAAACTTGCAATATGCAATTCCTCTGAAAACAGAAACTTTTCGCACATGCACATTACGGTTTCAGTCACTAGGCATGTGCGAGAAAGTCGACGAACAACAACAACAATGCCGAGCTCTGTTTGTGCTGCTCACCCTGTTGAATTTATCAACGCTTCTCCAGCAAAGTGTAGATGTACTGTAGCAACTCCACCTCATTGTCCGTCCAGACAAAGTTATCTGTACATGCTTTCACCATTGTGTCATCTTTGTTTTGGTTTGTAATCACCGCGTTGTAGAGGAAGGCGACACCACGGCATGACACCACCGTCATGCCGCGGTGTTGCTTTGCAAACAGGGCCTTAACTTTTAGGTTAGTCTTACCACATGTGGGTACATCTTCTTCAGCTGATGAGGTCTGCTCATCTGTAGATGGCTTCTTCTTACCCAGCCCGATGATTTTGGTGATCTTCTTCCCTGCTCCCTTACCAACTGTCCCGATCTTTTGCTCTGACTTTGAGTTCTTCTTCCCCTTTCCTGAGAGAGAGAGAGAGAGAGAGAGAGAGAGAGAGAGAGAGAGAGAGAATCAGACCCTTGTGCGTTCTAAAGCTCTATGTTGGTGAATTAGGTTCAGTTTGAAATCCCAGCAACCCCACTGCTCTGAGTGGGCTGATTTCAGATGGCTTTGTTTCAATCTAAAGAGAGAAAAAAAGAGGGAGAAATGACTGTTCACATTCAGCTGAAAGGAGGGCTAGATTTAAGTAAGCCAGGTCTTAAGAGGATATGCCTGAGTCCCTATGTGTGTTTGTTTAAATGAGGGAATAGCTTCATCTTGGTTCACTTGTAGAGATACTGGGGCCTATGGTGTATTCAAATGTGTGTATGGGAGAGAATAAACTTAAATTAGAATTACTGCCCTGTGGTTATATGCCTCCGTGCACCAGTCAAGTTTTTCTTATAATTTACATCCATGTCTGTGAAAACATGGATGCTTCATCCACTTCTTCCCCATGACAGCACAGAAGATCCATACATTCAGCACAGTTTCAAGGTGGACACCCAAGATTAGTGTCACCAATTCAGTATCTGACCAAATATTTCCCCTTCTGTTCCTGAGATATAATATTGAATAATGGCTAGAAAAGTGCTTCATACCAAATATTATGATGTCACAGTGAAGCTGACCTTTGGCCTTTTGGATATAAATGTCATTATTTATTTATTTTTATCCTAGTAGACGTTTTGTGAAGTTTTGTCATAATTAGCATATGAATTCTTGAGTTACGGCCAAAAACATATTTTGTGAGGTCACGCACCTTGACCTTTGACCTTCGTCAACAAATTTCTAATCAGTTTATTCTTCAAACCAAGTGGACGTTTGTGTCAAATTTGAAGAAATTCCCATAAGGTGTTCTTGAGATACCATGTTCACGAGAATGAGACAGATGCAAGGTCACACTGACTTTGATCCTTGACCACCGAAATCCACTCAGTTCACCGTTGAGGCTAAGGTTTGTGCCAAGTTTAAAGAAATTCCATCACAGTGTTCTTAAAATGTCACATTCACAAAAATGAGACAGATTTGGTCACAGTGACCTTGATCTTTGACTACCAAAATCTAATCAGTTCATCATTGTGTCCAAGCAGACATTTGTGCCAAATTTGAAGAAATTCCTTCAAGGCGTTCTGAGATAACACATTCAAGACAACGAGACAGACAAGGTCACAGTGACCTTGACCTTTGAAGAAATTCCTCTGAAGCGTTCCTGAGATATTGTGTTCGCAAGGATTGGACGTATGTATGGAGGCATATTAATGAAAGACATTAGAAGAGAGAGGAAAGTGTTAGTCAAAATTCAGTCTCAAACATAACAGGCCTTTAAAATCTCAACTGACAGATGTTGAGGCAATAGAGACAGTGGAGAACTGGGGAGGAAAATATACAGTATTTCTCTCCACTGATGTTATCACGCCAAGACGGCTAACTGAGTTTCTGGAGTTATTCTAGACACATATGCACGTACAGAAATATATTCTATATAACTACCAGAGCTGGTTAGCACACACACAAAATGTATCATTCAAATCAGAATCTACTAATGAATAGTAGTCCAAACTGATATTCTAATGTCAGATACTCTTTGTATTCAATCCTTCAATTCTTTCTGAATATAAAAATACATAAATATGGGAAGTATGCAAACACCCATCACACACTACTCAGGCCTGAGGTGGAAAGCAGACACACACATGTGAAAGCCATTCAAACATCTAAAAAGGAAGAATTATTATTGTTTTTCCCTTCAGGAGAGGAGGAGGAGGAGGAAAACTCTGATCAGGTCAATTTGATTCCAGTGAAGCTCTTTTTGTTACCAGCCATGGAAAGAATATTAAAGAATGTGCCTGATATTGGTGGTGACTGATAATGAAGCTGCAAATAGAGTTTCAGGACCAAGAGCAGATATTTCATTTCACTTTTGGGGGACAATAAACAGAAAATATCCTCAAGAGCCACCAAAAGTATTGTTGTTAACAGTTAACAATATATTAAATGTATATAGAGGAAACCCTGGTTTGGATCTGTGGTTGACTTTTGTGTGGGTTTTCTGATGTACTGGTTAATCTTTACACCTATAGTAACACCCATAAGGCCACTTAAGATTTGTCACATGATGTAATTCTAAATACTCAACTCAACTCAATTTTATTTATAAAGCACATTTAAAAACAACTCACACTGACCGAAGGGCTGTACAAAAGGAATAAAATGCTAAAAAACAAAACAAAACAGCATACATAGGGGTGACATAACTGTCAGGCACACAGCTCACACATTTAGAGACACAACACACACATGCATCATGAAGAACCACATCGGGGGACTCAAACGCTAATGAATAAAAGTAGGTTTTGAGCCTGGACTTTAAAGAGTCAGTGGTGGGGGCTGATCTGATTGGGAGGGGGATGCTGTTCCATAGTTTGGGAGCAGACACAGCAAAGGCACAATCACCCCTGGGCTTAAGTCTGGAGTGTGGGACAGCAAGGAGTCCCTGGTCAGCTGACCTGAGGGACCTGGGCGTAGAATAGGGGGTTAGAAGGTCTGAGATGTAGGATGGGGCTAGACCATTAAGGGCCTTGTACACAAACAGGAGAAACTTAAAGTCAATTCTCAACTTTACTTGCAGCCAGTGGAGAGGGGCCAAAACAGGTGTGATATGGTCTCTCCTCCAGTTGCCTGTGAGGAGCTTAGCAGAGATGTTCTGAACTAGCTGGAAGCGGGACAGAAAGGACTGACTGATACCACTGTACAGAGAGTTACGTTAGTCTAAACGGGAGGGGATGAGAGCGTGGGTGACTATCTGCAGGTCTTTGAGGGAGAGAAATGGCTTGATTTTGGCAATGATGCGGAGTTGGAAAAAGCTGGCTTTTACTACGGCATTTATTTGTTTCTCGAATTTAAAGATTTTTCAGAAATCCCTTTAATGGAGTCAGGGGGGCCAAAGAGGACAACTTCTGATTTGCCCTCATTCAGCTGGAGGAAGTTCTGTGCCATCCAGTTCTTTATGTCCTCAAGGCAGTTTAGACTGGCAACACTGGACTTGTGGTTAGGCTTGATAGGGAGATACAGCTGTGTGTCGTCAGCATAGGAGTGAAAGGAGATGTTATGTTTTTTAATCATTTGGCCGAGAGGAAGCATGTACAACGAAAAGAGAATAGGACCTAAGATGGAGCCTTGAGGGACCCCACAGGAAAGAGTGGCTGAAGAAGAGGAGTGATTTCCCATGCTGACAGAGAAACTTCTATTTTTGAGGTATTGTTGTGATCCACAGTATCAAACGCAGCGCTGAGGTCAAGAAAAACTAGGATAGCACAGTTTCCAATGTCAACAGAGAGTAGCAGGTCATTGTACACTTTCAACAAGGCAGACTCTGTGCTATGATAGGCCCTGAACCCTGACTGAAACCTTTCCAGGATGTTATTTTGATGTAAGTAGGTCTGTAGTTGATGGAGAATAACCTTCTCCAGAACCTTAGAGAGGAATGGAAGTTTAGAGATAGGTCTGTAGTTGCAGGGCATGGAGGGGTCTCAGTTGTTTTTTCTCAGGAGAGGCTGGACCACTGCCTGCTTGAAGCAAGCTGGAACAATACCAGTGGCCAGTGAGCTATTGACAATAAAGAGGATGCTGGGGCCGACTGTCAAAGACATCCTTCAGGAACCTGGAGGGGATAGTGTCAAGGGGGAAGGCAGTAGGTTTCATGGAAGAAACAATCTTGCTAAGGAAGGAAAGCCTGATGGGTTGAAAGCAGACCAGTCTAGATGAGCAGGCCAGTGGGGCAGGAAGGTTATAGGAGGGGCTGGGGATGTTAGATCTGATATTCTCAACCAGTAAAAAATGTTTTCCTCGCACCTAGCAGGGGACCTATCTTGGTTTGCAGGGAAGGTGGGTGGGAGGGTGGGAACAGAATTAATGGTAGTGAATAGGGTCTTGGGATTGTGCGAATGGTCAGAGATAATGTCAGGAAAGTATTTTTTTCTCGCAGCCTTAACTGATTCCTGAAACTTTAGAGGATTGGTTTTTAGCATTTCAAAGGAAATTTGAAGCTTGTCACACTTCAGCTTCCGTTCTGACTTTCTTCACTCCCTCCTTAGGGCCCTAGTGGTGTCATTAGCCAAGGCCGTCTTTTCGGCTTAGGGTTCTTAAGTTTGAGGGGAGCGAAAGTGTCCAGAATTGAGGAACAGGTGGTGTTAAATAAGCAAGTGGTGCTGAGATGGGAAGGAGAGGACTCAGCAGTGCATGTATCAGGGGCAGCTATGAAAGCCTTGCTGAAGTTGTTGGCAGTGGAAGAGTTAATGTAGCGAGAGCAATGTGCAGGAAGATGAGATTTAGCAGGGGAGAAAGGCAGAGATGCATCAAAAGTAACAACTCTATGATCTGAGAGACAGGCATCAGTTATTTCCAAATTACAAACTGGAAAACCAGAAGACAGGATCAAATCAGGTGTATGGCCTAATTTATGAGTAGGGCCGGTGGTGTGCAGGGTGAGATTAAAGAGTCAAGCAGATGCATAAAATCATTTACAAGAATTTTAGGAGGACAGCAAACATGGATGTTAAAATCACCAAGAATTAAAACTAGATCAAAGTTGGGAATAGTGTTCGAGAGAAAGTCTGCAAAATGTTTGATAAAGTTTTTATAAGATTTCGGAGGATGACATACAAGAGCAGGAGGTTGACCACGCCCACTTTCATCAGCTGCAGTTAAAAACTGGGGACGTGATCAAAGTTTAGTAGGCACACATTTAAGTGTTTCTTAAACACAGCAGCTAGACCCCCGCCGCGTCTTGAGGGCAGAAGAAGTTACAGTCAGCTGGACAGAGTTCAACAAGTGGAGCAAGCTCACCGGTGTGCAGCCAGGTCTCTGTCACGAGGAGGAAATCCAATCCATGAGTGGTGAAAAAGTCATTCAGGATGAAAGTCTTATTGGATATGGAGCCAGGACAAACAAGAGCGGTAGCAGGCGATGACAAGCAGCCAAA